TCAGCGTGGACGAAGCATTGCAACTGCTGGATCGGGCGCCGCTGCCCGAGGCGGCATCGCTTAAACAGCTGTCTATGCCGCATACACACGACATATTGACTTTAGTGGAACCGAACGATAATACTGCCACCGATCCGTTCTTGGATCCGGTCGTAGAGGAGGATGAGGGCGTGGTCCGATGCGGCCGGGACGCACTGGTGTCGCTCAGCCCCGCCGCCGTGGTGGTGGTGCGTGCGCTGCCGCCCGCAGCGCCGCGCTTCTATCGTAACATGCTGCCTGAACTACCCTGCACCACTTGTCCATATTGCCATCAGGTTTGTTATAACACCGTCGTTTATTTTTCGCACATATATAAAGACCGTACATTTAAATTTTGTGTTGACAGTTGTTTTACGCCGAGGATTATGAGATTCATATGGTGACGAAAGGACACTGCCCATTCTGCCGGCAGGCACGCCTCACTGACCCAGTTCGCTAGTTAGTACACACCGATGGAAATTAATAATTCTTTTAAGTATGAATTAATAAATAAGATAGAAAGTTGTGCATTAATTTATTATTTTTATTTTTAATAATACCTCAATATGTAATAATATTTCTATACGATACTATAATATATGTTTTACTCAAGTCAGATAGATATGCATATGAACAAATACAAAACATATTTTCGTATCTTTTAGCTGGTATCAATTTCTATATTGTTAAATGAGTAGCGTTTGTCTGTGTATGAAAAGACCTTCCTGTCAATTACAATCTGGTTCCCGCCTTTAATTCCGGTTTCGGTACTGCTCTTGAGCCCGGTCCTAATCCTGATCCCACACTTTGTTCGAACTCATTTTCAATTTCAATCCCGATTCTGTCTTTCGATTCTGCTCCCCGGCCCGTTTTAAGTCCAATACCGCTCACAGCAATTCCAATTTGTATGTAGCCAGGGCCAATGTAAGTATAAAAAAAAAGTTATATTATTATTGGATAGTTAACTTTTCTATCCGTCAAATAATATTAAATTTATACTATGTACAACCCCACTGCAAAGGATACCTTTTTCCTGATATCCGATTTAAATGATATAAGGCCCATATTCTGCTCCAAGCCAAGCTCCATCTATACGCAAAAACCGCTTAAAATCAGTTCAGTATTTGAAAATACAGTAATGGGCGTGAACAGACAGACAAACAAATTAAAAATCGTTTTTCTCATATACCTATATTACCTTTATCTTGTCCATTTTATTTGTCCACTTTACATACGCACTTTCAATGAACAGGCATACCGGGTTTACTGTTTTATTATATGTGTAAATGAGTTTTCATGAGCATTCTAGATCTGCGTAATAAACTTTTTGTTTAATAGGTAACTTATTTTCATTTGATTTAGCGTTTTTCAAATTGAGAAAACAAAAATATTAGGTCGGGGGAAAAGTTTTTTCGTATTTCATAAGTAAAAAGTTGAAGTAAAATCTTTTTGGTTGTGCTCTTTGTATCTGGCTAGTTTTAATACCATTAAATAGATGGCATTGTAAAAAAAATTAAAAAGTAAAAACGATATCCCGCCACTTTTCTATTGTATTTCTGTCCACCAAAATGAGTGAATCTAACGTAGAACTTCGATACATTTTAAATTTTTATTACAAAAAAGGAAAAATGCGATACAAGCCGCGAAAAATTTGTGTCTTTTATAGACCTAATGGAGTGTTTGTAAGAGTATCACAAAACTGGTTCAAGCGTTTTCAATCGGGTAATTTTGATGTCAAAGATGAACCTCGCTCTGGTCGACCTGTTACGGATAAAGCCGATATTATTTTGGAAAAAGTAAAGCAAGATTGGCTTATTAGTTCGTACGAAATAGTTGAAAAGCTGAAGATTGACCGCAAAACAGTTTTGACTCATTGGAAATAAGCTTGATAATACAAAAAAAAAAAAACTCGATATTTGGGTTCCACAAGAGTTCACTGAAAAAAATCTAATGAATCCTGTACCCATTTGCGATTCTCTATTGAAATGTAATGAAATCAAACAGTTTGTGAAAAGATTGATCACTAATGATGAAAAATGGATTACCTGCGACAAGGACTTGTGAAATAATCATGTTCAAAAGGCGAGCAAGGTCCACAGACTATAGCGAAACCCGGATTATTACGCAATAAGTTAATGCTATGTGTATAGTGGGATCGGAAGAGAATAATTTATTGCGAGTTTTTAATGCCGGGTAAAACTAACAATTCAGATCTCTACTGCCAACAGCTGATGAGACTGAAGCAAGAAGTAAAGAATAAACAACCAGCACTGATTAAAAGAAAACATGAGGTCTTTCATCATGGTAACGCCAGAGCACATACATATTTAGACAGCAAAGATGGAGAGAGTTTGGTTGGAAAGTGTTAATGTATCGACCATATAGCCCTGACTTTGACCCGCAGATTTTCACTTGTTTCGGTCTTTTCAGAATTCTTTAGGTAGTGTCAGATCCTAATATCAAGAGAGGAATATCAAAACCACTTGTCACAGTTTTTTTGATTAGAAGTCCTAAAATTTCTACAGCAATAGGATTATGTCACTATGTTAAAATTTCACTTGACTTTATATATGAAATACGAAAAAAACATTTTCCCATATCCAATGTATCGTGTGAATCGATCATATATCGTTCCGCAAATATTCATAATCTCCTTTTTTTAGAACAACTTTGTCAAAGAAACCATAGTCATTTAAGTAACCGTTTCTGAGAAAATAGCTCAGAATATGAATTTGTAAACATACGAACTTTAATCTTAGCGCTTAGTGACAATTGGCACGCTCACGATGCGTACACGCAATGGACGCCGGCAGTGTAGCGAGTCCGCTGCGAGGCCGCCGGTTCGCGTGCGGTCAACGACTGGACGCGCGGCATTAGAGGTTTAGGTGTTAGTGTTGCGTTTATCATATTGACGTTTTTGAAACTACTTAGTTTGCCTTGTTTGTTTAGAGGTGTGTGGAACACGTGAAAAATCAGAGACTAATGTAATAAAATCTTCGGGACGTTTACATCGTTGACAAAATCAAATGTCTTTTGTAGGTACTTGACTATATAAATTATTTAAAAATAATACATTGCATAGCTCTAGTGCGAGGCACAACTCGAGTTCGTCACATACTCGGACGCGGCGCGCGGGCACCGTATAGCCGAGCATTTCGTGAGGTTGTGTCTATTTTTTAACTTCCCGCTAAGAAAATTGAAAATTTTCAAAAATTTTCGGGAAGTTATTGGTTTCACTCCATTTTGAAAAAATCGAGTTCTCATCAGATCTCGACGTTCTGAGGGTCTAGGAAGCTTCCCTGATCATCCCTGAGATGATGTCCGTATGTATGTGTGGATGTGTGTGTGTGTGTGTGTGTATGTGTGGGTGTATGTAAACCTCTTATAACTTTTAAACGGCTTGACCGAATCGAGCCCACTAAACGGCTTTCCAAAGAGTTTCACCAAATTTAGATTTCCTGAAAGTTTGGGTCGATTTGGACCGGTAGATTTTAAAAAAATTTAAAAAAATTAAGAAAAAAAAATTTTTTAAAAGTGGTTTTTTCAAAATAACTTTAAAATGGCTTGACTGATCAATTTCAAAATATAGTCAGCTCTTATTAAAAACACGTCGATTGCCGCAAACCGGGTCAAAATCGGTTGATTTGTTTGTGAGAAATCGTTGTCGAAAGAAATCGGAAAAAAACAGTTTTTTTGGAATAACTAGAAATCGAAACAAACCGTTTTTTTACTCAAAAAATCGCGTCAAATCCCGTATATTTTCGAGTGTTTTGAACTCGAAAATAGCGGGAAGTTTCGGGGTTGGCCTACAGGGTTAAAGTATTTTTTTCTATATTATTTATAAATATATTTTCAATAATATGTATTTGTTATAGTTACTCTAGCAAATTTCTTTCTAAAATAAGAAGAGATTATGAATATTTGCAAAAAGGTGTATGATCAATGCCATTCTGTATATCATCAGATCAAAGATGGCTTCGCTGTATTTTGGAAACTATTTCATTCATTGGTAACGGTCCACATTTTGGTAACAGATTTTAAACGCGGTCATTGGGGCTGTGAAGATTCGCGTCATGTCTGTAGATAGTCGGAAGTCTTATCGGCCTGACGGTGAAAAGAACACGTAAAGTTAACTATGAAATCAAAGAAAAAAAAGCTGTTCAAGGAGTATATTTTTGCGTATCGACAGTTCAAGTTAGATAGGGGAAGCGTTTTTAAGAGCTGTTTACGTTCCCCGTGCAGGCGGGCGATGATCGTGCAATCAGATCTCTCACATCTTTTGATGAAGTGCTGCCTCATCGGCTAAATGTTTTGGAGGGGTGGTCTTAACGTGAATATCAGATTTTCTTAACGATCCTTCAATCAATTTTCGCTAACTGCTCGAGTAGCATGATTCTTTAGTGTATAACATGTAAAATAAAATCTATTACAAATTCTTATGATGAGTTGCATGAAATACGAATACATAAAACATTGAAGGTGAAAAAGGAATGTGTAACATGTAGTTTGACAAATAACGTTATACCAGAGATATCTCTGTTGCGAAAGTTAAAAGTATAACAGAAAAACACGGATGAAGCGAACTAATTTTGTAAAAATCATTACTTTCTCAATCGGGTTCTACGATTTTGTGTAGGTAAGTTTTTTTACGACCCCTGCTTTTATTCTCTGCATAATGATGTGGATATTAACTGTTTGTATAAGAACTCTAGAATAAGGGAGATAAATTTTCTATGTATATGTTCGATATTTTTGTGCATATATATGTGTAGGATTTTCTAAATAAGTGTGAAGTCAAATAAGGATTATTAGCAGCACTCGGAGAGTTTACGAATCCCCCATTTTGATTTTTGGAATGAAGTTCCTTATCGCACGTTACACTCAGGCGCTCGGCGGATGGGGGCTACACGAAAAAAAGTGTAACCGCAACAAAAATGCTGACTGCTGTTGCTTTAATTAACGTTTTTATAAATTTGTTTGCCAACGTCCATATCACGCCGAATACACCGGTTCTCGTCCGATCACCGAAGTTATCGGGCGCGGTCAGTACTTGGATGGGTGACCACCTGGAATATCGTGTGATGTTGGCTTTTTTTTGGTGTTGCATTCTTTTTGCGGTAATTCATAATAAAATATTAATTATAATTTTTATTTTAATATTATATTATCATACCTTTATTTTTTTGTTATAGGATTGTTAATTTATTTCATTGCGTTTGTATATAATTTATAATACATTTTTTTTTTAATATTAAATGAAACTCTTATATTCAGTTTTGGTCAGTATTCAATTTTAAGCTTTCAAAAAATAAATACTTATACAAATATATTAAAGTGACATCTATTTTTGATTTCATAATTATATAATTATGCAAATTGACGAACATAACAAAGAAAACAAATGGCTCCGTTTAGTGTTTTTTTTTGAATTTTCAATAATTAATAAAAAAAAAATGTTTATTTTCAACTTACAAATGTTTCTTACCATTTATTCACTTAATATTATGATTTATTTAATTTTTTTGAAATATTTTAATTAATTTCATTTTTATTATTAAATTCATAAAATATGTTTACATATAGCTAAAGGAACTTTGTATATTTTAATCGGGTGTCCCAAAGACACCTCATGAGTTTTTTTTTGTAAATGTAATATTAGTAGTGGCACCACTAAGCAAATCTAACGACGTCTAAATTATCGAAATCGATCCATAAGTTTATTAGCTACGAGGGAACATAGCAACATACATATAGGTCGAACCCATAACCCTTCTTTTGGCAATCGGTTAAAAATAAGAAAAGCAACCATCTTAATTTTTGTTGTTGAAATGCAAAAATTTAATTTATCTGCATACTTTTGTAATAAATTAAAATCAGGATATTTATTTAACATTAGTAAAAATTAGTAATTACAAGTGGAAAAAATTAATGCAATTTTTTCATTAATGACACAGACACCGCTCGGAAAATGGCCCAAATAAATTGCTAGGACCCTAAAACATGTAGATCTGGTGAAAACTCAATTTCCTAAAATAAGGTTGAAAATAGAAACTTTTCAATTTTATGAAATTTTTCAATTTACATAGCGAAAAGTTAAAAAGAAATATATTTTACTACGACAATAAATAAATATAAATAGACACGTTAAAATGACTTAACTATAAGTTAAGGACTTAAGGACTTAACTATAAGAAATAGTAGAATAATTGCTGTGTTAGATAAATGGCAGGGCGACGACGCGCTGGGCGTGCAGCCAGAGGCATCGTGATACAGTCGAACGATATCGGCGCGCTGATGGTGGGTGGCTACATTGAGAAAGGCTAGCAACTTCATATACAGAAGTCAAAACGTCATGTACGTTTTGGACAATGCTATCGGAGTTGCCAGTATAATCAGAATTTTATTATCAACTAACCATCGCTTGAGTGGATGTAGAATGCATTCCTACCTATTTTTCACTTTAGATTCTAATCCCGATCCTGCTCGTTACCAATTTGTCTCACTCTCGATTTTGATCCCGATTCTGCTCGTCGCCAATTTGTCTCACTCTCGATTATGATCCCGATCCTCCTCATCGCCAATTTGTCTCACTCTCGATTCAGATCCCGATCCTCTTCATCGCCAATTCATCTCACTCTTGATTCTGATCCCGATCTTGCTCGACGGCAATTTGACTCACTCTCGATTCTAATCCCGATACTGCTCGACGCCAATTTGTCTCACTCTCGATTCTAATCCCGATCCTGCTCGTTGCCAATTTGTCTCACTCTCGATATTGATCCCGATTCTGCTCGTCGCCAATTTGTCTCACTCTCGATTCTGATCCCGATCCTTTTCGACGTTAGATTATCTCATTCTCGATTCTAATCTCGATCCTGTTCGACGCCAATTTGACTCACTCTCGATTCTAATCCCGATCCTGCTCGTTGCCAATTTGTCTCACTCTCGATTCTGATCCCGATCCTTTTCGACGTTAGATTATCTCATTCTCGATTCTAATCTCGATCCTGTTCGATGCCAATTTGACTCACTCTCGATTCTAATCCCGATCCCGTTCGTCGCCAATTTGTCTCACTCGATTGTGATCCCGAGTCTGCTTGTCGCCAATTTGTCTCACTCGATTCTGATCCCGAGTCTGCTCGTCGCCAATTTGTTTCACTTTAGATTCTAATCCCGATCCTGCTCGTTACCAATTTGTCTCACTCTCGATTTTGATCCCGATTCTGCTCGTCGCCAATTTGTCTCACTCTCGATTCTGATCCCGATCCTTTTCGACGTTAGATTATCTCATTCTCGATTCTAATCTCGATCCTGTTCGACGCCAATTTGACTCACTCTCGATTCTAATCCCGATCCCGTTCGTCGCCAATTTGTCTCACTCGATTGTGATCCCGAGTCTGCTTGTCGCCAATTTGTCTCACTCGATTCTGATCCCGAGTCTGCTCGTCGCCAATTTGTTTCACTTTAGATTCTAATCCCGATCCTGCTCGTTACCAATTTGTCTCACTCTCGATTTTGATCCCGATTCTGCTCGTCGCCAATTTGTCTCACTCTCGATTCTAATCCCGATACTGCTCGACGCTAATTTGTCTCACTCTCGATTCTGATCCCGATCCTGTTCGACGTTAGTTTATCTCATTCTCGATTCTAATCTCGATCCTGCTTGACGCCAATTTGTCTCTCGATTCCTCGCGGTCTCGATTTAAGTAGATTTTGATTTTAGTCCCGCATTCGATCCTGATCCCACTATCAATTCTAATTTCAGCATTGGTCTTCACTTCGATTTCAACCCCTCCTGGTCTCGACTCTCAATTCTGTTCCCCGTTCCGTTTGCGATTTGGATTTCACTAACTTTGACGGTATTGCAAATCCAAATTGTATCGAAGTTGACTAGGGAATAGTGTAGCTTTTTTTGAGTGAAAGAATGTTCAGAATCTGTAATAGCACAATAATGCAGATGAAGTCAAGACCAAATGTTAATAGTCTATTTTACTCGGAGGGCTTCATATTAGGAAGGAATTTTAATTTTTAGAATCAGGTCAGTAGTACAAATATGCAGACGGAATTGGGTACTAGTTTTTTTCTTCAGAAACTTCTCTTTACGCCTACAACATATCACCAGTTTCATCGAAATCGGATCAATGGCTTAGCCACGTAAAAAAAAAACAAAATACACGCTAATTGAAAATAGTTTATCCCCATGCGAAATTTGATTACAATCCATACAATCCCTTTAACCTTTTCGGAGATTAGTCCGAACAGAAATTTTATCGACAGACAGAGTAAAAATTTTAAAATGACAACTATAGATTAGATGCTCCATGAGATATACATGTACATTTAAAATTTTACAATAATATCATACGTACCTACAGTTTCGTATATTAGTATGGATATATAAATAAAAAGAATCCCATTTCTTAGTCCAGTAATCAATCTATTCCTATTCGAAATGCCTGAGACCTATAGTTTGCCAGTGTCGGTATTGAATACGGACAAAAATCATCGAGACTTAATGGATGAAATAGATATATACATAATAAAGTTTGTACCGAACGCTCAGGGTGTGAATCCTATTCGCACTTGTCCGGTTTTTTCCCTGTGATATCGCTTTTAATCATATTTGATGTATTCTACTTTGTTCTTATTTACACATTGAAATTTCTCGCAGTGCTCGAGCTCTATGAATCGAGTGTTGGGCGGCCGATACTCGATTTACAATGGAGACGGCACTGGTGTGTCAAAATTTCATACGACTAAAGAGACTAATAAGTCTCATTTTATCATTTATATATATATATATTAATAAGAGTTGTGAATCATAGTTCACAAAAAAATACCTCGGGAAGTAACCGAAGTAAATAATTCGACCAGAACGATCGCAGAGAGTAACGGCGTAACCTCTCTGGAAAGGTTCGCCATCCCGAAGACCGTTCGCCGATCGCGGAAAAGCTCATCTTAACCGCTGCCATCGACACAGTCGATATGGTGATAAGTTCAAAGAAAGCAAAAAAGTCGACAACCAAACTAGATTACAATGATAGCATCGAGACGTGTTGATGTATGGCGAATGATTTTCGCGATCAAACGATTGAGCAGGTCCAATAGTCTGGTCGAGAAGTGAGTTTTCCGCGAAAAATAGTTAGCACAATTTAAAAAATATGGGATTTGGTTTTTTGGATTCAGAATTTTATTCTGAAAAAGGGGAATTTTGGAATTTTTTTGCTATAAAATATTGCAATTGTTATTAACAAAAACAAAGAGAGAAAAAGGTGGTCGCCCTTTTTTAACAATAACTTCAAAAATATTAAAAAAGCTCCATTTTGAAAAAAGATTCTGAAAGAGGAGAAAAATTCATAAAAAAAGTCTCGACTCCCGAAATTGTAGCTCCATTATATATAATTTTAATTTAACGCTGAAAATAGCGTTCCGCGCGGCAGTTTCAACGTTGTAACGTCGCCGCCAAACAAACTAATCGTCAGAAAATAATTGTTTTATAATATTTATTATCAATATAAAAATTTGAATAAATTATAGTATCATTTAGACACTTGAAGGAATACAATCCAGTTTACAAAATATTTTTAACTTGATTTTTGTTTAAGTTATCCAATTGTTAATTAAGTAATTTTTCATGAACTTAAGATAACATAAAATCTATCATAAACGTTAAAATAATTTAGCTAAAAATCTTGTTCCTCTTGGAGCTTACTCTGATATACTCAATAAACAAGATTCCGGTATAAAAATTTATTAAAGTTTTTTTATTTATTTATAATAATTTTTCTAAGTTAACAAAAAATGAAAAATTCGGAAAATGTAGTTAAAAAAATTTTTTTTACGAAATCTTTGATTTTCACTATTTTTGTATCTACTTTTTACATTTCATTGCTTTGTTGAAAAATTTTTTACATTATTTGTTTAAAAATTTTTTGTAAACAAATAGGCAAATTTAATATTTAAAAAAAAAATTTTTGCCATTATATTGTCAAAGTGAAATAATGATTTAAAAAAAAAAAATTTTTCTTAAAAATTTTTTTAATTGTTAATAACCGTTTTTTTATTTATCTGACCTTTAAATTATTA